TCTCTTCAGCAACTCGCAACAACAGTATACTCGCTCACCACCTCCTGTGTCTCTCCCTAAAGAAAACCTATATACCTTCGTTTCCATAACAATCAACCACCACAAACAGAAAAAAATACCATCAAAACCGCCACTAATTGCTACAGGTAAAACCTATTTCGGTAACCTGCTAGATTTTCTCAACTTCTTTATGCCTCTTTTGGAACAAAGGTATGCAAAGTTTGTTATCAAGTTCAAATATGTTGCAGATTCTATTTTTGTGTGTCTGTTTGTGACTTTTTCTGCTTGATTTTTTCAACTTTTGTACGAGCTCTAAATGAAAATCTGTATTATTTTGATTTTTCAATCCAGAGCAGGAATGGTTCAAATCGACCACCAGGTTTGATCTTTTTTACTTTCTTTATTATTGTCGTTATCCTATTTCCCAGGTTGGGTTCATCAATTTTGTCAATTGTTGTTACCCCCACACTCACCACCTTTTTTTCTCTTGCCCTTCCTCTATATAAGAAAAACCCTAAAACGACCTTTCCATTTTCCATCACCACATCCCAACAGGAACAGAAACACACTCACACACCACCATTTACCATTGCCATCCTCACCTTTTCTCTTTTATGCTTCCTCCCCAACGTTTCTGGCCCATATATTCATTTTGATTTGAACACGATTTGAAAGAAATAAATTGTTTTTTGTCAATATGGTTCCAATACAAATGCTTCTTGAGATGGTTCTTCTTGCTCTGCTTCCAAATCCGTTCTTACGTAAGAAGAAAAAAAATCAGAATCAAAACCTTTTTAACCAAAGTAAGTTATATTTAATATGATCGTGTGTGTGTTGTTGTGTGTTTGTATCTGAAATTGTGTATGCAGTTGTGGTTGTAATTTGGTGTTTCTTTATTACTTACATAACACACACCCCAGGTGTTTGCTATAATGCATGAATGAAGGTTTTAACTTTTTTTTATGAAAATCCAACAAACTGTAAATGTGAGCTATGTTAAGATGCTCTCATGTTTGAATAGGGTATGCATAATAGTTGCATATTCGATATAATTTGATAATTGAAGCTGTAAGTTCTCCAAATTTCATTTTATACTTGAATTTTCTTCTTTTAATGAAATCCTTTTATGTTTGTGTTAAGATATATCAAATAAGCTTTATTTTTTTAATTAATAGTAGAGGAGATAAATGGATTTTTTTTCAGTGGGGATAAATGGAGAGACTTGAAATTTTGGTTAAATGAATGAGAAGGACTCAATGTGATAATTTGAAGTTTTGGGGTGAATTTCAAAATAAAGGGCATTATGGTCTAAAACATGTTTATGTTTCCTTCTTGCAGATTTACCAGGTAAGAAAGCTAATTGATTCTCCAAAACTGTTTTCGATTTTATTGATTCTATATGTTTTTGGATGTACCGATTCAATTTTTTTTTCTCCAAGCAGATTTTCCAACATTAACACTTCTCAGACAGTAAATACAATATGAATCTATGCTAACAATTTTTATTTTATTTTATTTTTGTTTACAAGTACTTCAATGTTTGATTTTCTTGATGCCTTTGTTCTTTTTGTTATAAGTTTATGATACTTAAAGCATTTGATAGTTATTATATTTTTACAAAATTACTAAAATGATTATTTTAAGAGGTATTTATTTGGTTATAAATTTAGTGAATCATGTGCAAGTCTGGATACTCTGCACAAACCAGTTGATAACAAGATGAAATCATCCAATAACCTTGTTCATGTCGGTTTGCAAACAAATAAGGTATAAGAATTTAAAGGCCTCTCAACAATCATTATTCGTATTGAGGAAGTTCGGATTTTTTTTTCAAAGTTAGTGTTTTCAAGTTGTTTTGTTGATTTTATTTTCAAATATGGGTGTGTGCTGGGATGTATACCCTTTTTTGGTTCTTAGGTGTTCATATAAAGTCATAAATGACAAAAACACAAGTTTATTTGTATGCCCTAACTATATTTTGTAATTTTCTTTGTTGATGTCGTATTCGTTTATTGATCCTCTACAGATGGTGAAAATGGTTTTTTTTTGGCAATTGATGAGTAAGTTTTACTGTTTTATGATTTTAACCTTCTTTTGATTTTTTTTTGGCAGTTTGATTGACGTGGAGAATGTTTTGTTGATTTTAGCTAAATTCTATCACCAAGCAAAGTGAAACTGGAAACGATCCAAAGGGCATAAACGGAAAAGCAAATCATGCAAGTGGCAGTGAGGATGGTAGTGCAAAAGGCAAAGCAAAAGGTATAAAGGGTGGTGATGACATTGGAGCCTACACATATTTAAAAGGTTTGTGTTTAGCTATTCGAATTCCCATTTTAGGGCTATATGCAAGAAATACCTTTTATGAGTAATTATTAGGTTTTTTTCTGCTCTCAGTTTTAATTGGTTTTGGTTAATAAGTAATTTGATTAGTGGGTGTAGTAGCTAATAAGGATTATGAAATAATTTATAGTCTCCCATTCACTTGATGATAATGGATCAAGTGATTATGTTGCCTTTTCCGAAAGGGTACTGATGTTGTGGCTTTCCAGAAGCCAATTCTACCAATGTGCTTTTTCCAGGCTATGGGGAGCATCTAAAGGTTCTAATGACAACTATATCCCTACTAAATTGAGAGTTTTTGTGTTGAATTAAGGTTGTGATGTAGATCCTAGGCCAATGATTGCATTGCATAATTTTAGTTTATAACATTAGATTTTGGCATTGCCGATTTGGTTTATTTGCTTGGATTATGCAATGAATAAGCCAAGCCTGTAAATTACCTTTTAATACTTTTGTGATACACACACAATACATATATCATTGATTTTGGCCTATGATTGCATTGCAAAATTTTAGTTTATGAATTCATGTCTAATGACATTCTCAGAGAGCACTTATCAAGTTGGCATGTGTCAATAAATATCTTATTTATTTTGTTATAAATATGATATTTTTTGCTTTTTTGTTTGTTTTTGTTGATGTTTGTCAGGAAGATTCAAGCTAATTAAGACTTGCCCAAAATCATCATTCTAGATCATTGTTTATGGTACAAATATTTTCCTATATATTATTTATATGTATTCAATAGTGAAAATGCTTTTTTATTGTAAACAAATGAAAAATAATAGTTGATAAACAACAAAAGACGTTCATAATACTTTTGAGAGGATTGTGTTTCTGGTAAAATGATGATCAATAAACAATGATCTAAAATAATCTTGAATATATTTCTCCTTTTATTTCCCTATGTACATTTTCATATTAGTTGTGCTAGAACAATTATTTTAAATGTCTATCAATAATTTATCGTAAAAAATGTTTGGTTTGTGGACATGTTCATTGTTAAAACTTTGATGCGACCGTATAGAGCAAAGCGGCGGATCAAACTTCAGAAGCTCAACCATGAAATTTGAAGTACTATTGGACTAATGAACGACGTTCGTCTATCCGTATTTAGTTATACGACTGTTGAATCCGTATGATCTTCATTGATCTTTGAATTTTTTACCATTTATGTGTGAACGGATGATGTTAATTAGACTTAATCAAATTATTACAGATTTTAATATTAACCGGGTTTTACCGGGTTAATTGTCACCGACTCAACCTATTTTTTTTATAAATCCGATTGGGTCTTTCCGAATGGAAAATAGGCAAAGGCCCGCTTCTCCTTAGGCCAATTAGTTCGACCGAACATGACGATTTGGATTTTAAAACACTGATAATTATAAATCATTTTTTTATAATATAACATAAATATTTTCAATTTAACATAATATAAAATTACCAATATTCCCTCCCATTGTATATAATCAACGAAAAATGCAATTCACTCAGTATAAAGGCATCCTTTTAGACGCCGGATCAAATTCCATAAAACCATTTGTTAGGTTTAATCAATAAAAAAAGTTTTTATTTATTAATTTATTTATAATTTTTTTTAATAATCTGTCTGAAGATGACATGTTTTCACTCAAGCCGGAGAGAAAACAATCTCTAATTCGATTACGTTTCGAGATGACAATCAATAAAGTTATAAGGACAAATAATTCCAAATGCAAGTACTAATTTTTCAGAATCGGCTTTCTCGCATGACCAACTTTATATGACATTATCCGAAAGAATATCACGTGTCAATACAAAAGTATTAGTGAACGATGACGAACAATTCAACGATAATGAAGTCTATAAAGAAAATGTGATATATATAAAAGACTTGCATGATTAATAATGCACAGTCAATCATGTGTTCATGTACATATCTAAAGAATCTCAAATTTTCATTTTTAATAAATATTATTTTGTTTTTGCTAACATGACTTTTATTGATAATTGTTTAGATGTATTAAATTATTTGTGCAAAAGAACTAATCGGCTTTAGAAACTAATCTCTAAAAGAACGATTTGCACCCGTCGATTAGCGCGGGTAAGTTGCTAGTACCTTAATAAGCATTTAGCTTCAAATGCTGAATTTTAAAATGTACAAATCATATTGTTATATGTACAATAACTTTATACATTAAAAAAATCATAAATCTTAGGTCAACAATTGAAAAAGTCAAGATAAAAATTAAGAGATAGTTTATTAGCTGGCCTTTGAAGTTTGATTTAGTAGTCCTCACTTTCATTTCAGCCACTTGAATCGGTCAAACCTTACTTTCATAACAACTTGAATCGGTGAAACACGATCTATATTAACAGTTTAACACATCTTCGAAGGTTGATCTGTAACTCTCTCTTCGTCCGGAAGAGCGACAACCTTTACGGCCGCCAACCCCCGACACCACCACCACCAGTTCTTCCTTCTCCCACAGTTGGCTATGTGTGGCTCGAGTGAATGTGTTCGACAATTGCTCACGGTGGTGTCATGTTTTGTTGAAGGTCCGACTATGGTGTCGGGCTTCGATTTAGATGATGATGGATTAACCGTCTACCTCTGCCTCCACTATTAATCGCCGCTATCAGCAACCTTCACAGCCACCAATGGCTACCATCTAGAAATGAAGAATAGTAGCCATCCCCACCACTTTTGTATTTTGTCTCTTAAAATCCCTAGCCATTCCATCTCTCTGTATCTGAAAGACCAAATATATTTATCATCTATGTCTCTCAATCTCAGGCCACAACTGCCACCTCCTAAGAAGTCGTCGACTTCCACAAACCCTAGGTGCCTCCACGACCACCATGCCACCATCTTCAAGAGTAATCGTCGTGTTCTAGGGCGTCTGACCCGCTGGAGTCCATGACGACTACTAACACTGGTAGTTTTTTTTGTCTAATGTTAATTAATTAATTTTGTTATAGTTCTTTTTATCTAATACCTAATCAGAACTATGTGCTCCATTGAAGTGATCTTTCGACCAATTTAATATTGTATAACAACACTTTCAAGTTTGGATGATTATGTGTGGGGGTGTTTAGTTTTTCAGGACATTTGATGTTTTATTAGACGACACTATATGCAGTGGTTTTGGGGTGTGCAAGTTCGACTTTGTTGGTGGCTTGGATTTTAGGTATCCTCTGTTACGATCTCAAGTCCTAAACATCATATTTAGAAACTAATAATCTACATTCAAAGTAAGCAATGATTTCAACCCTATACGCATCAGTCTTCTGTGTTTTATGATCTTTACGTGTAAGTATTAATCAATATCTGTAAAAAGTTTTAATTTTGAGATTTCCCCAATTTTTCAATATTTCTGCTTAAACATCAATGATGAAGCCTTAAATTGTCTGTTCACAATCTAGGGTTCTTTCTTTTTGCATTTAGTATATATTTTCCTATTTTTATATGGGATTCTAACTATTTTTTGTTATTTTTCATGTAACAAAAGTCGAAACAGAAAATATGAAGGTGGTGGAAGATATGAGTTAGTTCTGTTGGTATGTAGTTCGGTTCTTACAATTTGGGGTATTTCAGTAATTTCACTTGCATTTTGATCACTATGGACCTACTACCTACAGAGTGTGAAGTTGTCAAAGCTAGATCTATGAACACAGTTGGGCGTTTGATTGGGGAAGTAAAAAAAAAATAGAAAGAGATTGTTGTGAAGTTGATGATCCTTGCATGTTTACAACCAACCTATGTTGCAAGTTGAATGTAGGGCCGGTGGACAACTGGTTATGTTTGTCTTCTGAGGTTACATTTAAATGTACCTTAATTTAAAACCAAGGTACTTTTTGTCACATTACACACATACATATACAACAACATTCACACACACACATACACACTTAATGTATATGTTTATGTGTGCGCCTCAATGTGTGTGATTTGGTTGCTATGCATGTATGGAAAAATGACCATTTTGTCCTTACAAGTGGTATTTCAATTAAATTAAAAAGTTAAAAATTAACTTTTATCCGACCCTTCTGTCTATATTTGTTTTTTTTTGTTTAATTTCTAGGCTATCTCTTCTTCCCTGATATCATGATTTGACCAGACCTTTTATTATTGTTTGTATATATATGTTGATTTCATTTTAACTTTATGCTAACAATAATGTGTAGTTTGGTCCTTTCCAAGAAAAAAAAAGGTTGAGTGTGCCAAGGTGAAGGTAAGAACCTGTTTGAATTTGCTTGAATTGTGTCGTTGGAGTCTGTTCATGTAGGTGGTAGGTTATGGACTTCCGGATTAGTAAAAGTCTTTAACATGGTTTCACTTTGTTGCTCAATTGTAGCAAGAAGTTTCTCATTTCTTTTTTATTTTTTTAATTCCAACTTATTGAGAAAAAGGAAGTTGAAGTTCCAATTACAAAATAAACAACAAAGATAGATACAAATAAGTATATTGTGTTATACGAATAAGTATTGTTGTAATGGAATAATTAAATGCAAGTGGGATGTCATTCTAACCTCATTTTTAGTTAACATGATACCATTCTTCTCATTTGGGAAATCGGATTTTAGGTGTAACACGTGATGCCATGCGCCATTTTAGTTAACCTATTATTTAATTGTGATTCATATTTGGCTTCGTCATCATTATGTACCAATAATAGCAATGCATTTTAATTAATATGATATTAGCAAAGTACTTTCTTTTCCCATATATTTATAACAACCAATGAGCTGAAATGTTGCTATAATCTCGAATATTAATAAATTACATTGCTACTACTTTTGAAAATATGTTCATGATTAAATTTTCAAGTATGTTGCTATAACAAAAAAGAAATTGAAAGTAAGTTGCTATATTAGTAAAATCTGAAATACAACGCTACAAAGGAATTGACCATAAATGAAGTGCATTGACTAATATATTTGTTTTCTATCTAATTTGTAATAAATGTGGTTGTGATCTATTGCCATATTAGTAAAATCTAGAGAACTGATGTAATGTCTACGGTGGACTAGAGTGTGGATTTTAAGAATGCAACTTAAATATCAATGTTTTTATTGGATAATACTTATTGTTCATTGGTTTGTATCTTTTAAATATGTACTTAATGGTTTGTATTTATTTTTTATCAACACATTAATAGGTCGAAAAGAATAAGTCGCAAAAAGATAGGACTTTTAAATAGTGGAAATAATAATGTCTTTCTTGAATATCTAATAATCCTTTTATGAATTTTATAATTGTTTATAATTTATTAAGATTATTATTTTATATTAGTTTAAGCAGAGACTTTTTCAATGTAACTTTTTTTTAATAACGATAATCAATCAACATAAGGATCAAGATGTAGTCTCTATTACATATTATGTATCTACCATTTTTAAAATTTTGATGAAGGAAAAATGTTCAGGTATTCAATCAAACTGAGTCAAATGTCCACATGTTTCCCATTATGTCCAAAGAGAACTATTCGTCGAAAGAAATTTCTTTTCTTACACTCAGTTGATATATAAAATTGTATAGTTGTTGAAGGATATTATAATTGCGATGTCCGTTTCAATGGATTGGTTCGACCAAATCCAAATTAGTTTTGGTTTTCAAAACATGAATCCAAATAATCCAAATTGTATATAAATCTGATTTGAACCAACCAATCTATAACTCATTTGGATCCATTTTTACTATTCAATTTTCAAGATTCAAAATTTTTAAAGAAAATACATAATTTTAACACTAACAAACTATATTTTTAGAGTTAAATCCATAAAATTATTCATATGATGTCATGAACCGGACTAAATTCTGACTTTTCATTTTTAATTCTTATTGGTTTCATTTGTGCTAGCATAACTCTTATTGATAATTGTTTAAATATATTTGCGCAAAAGAACTAATCACCTCTAAAACTAATATCTAAAATAAACTATCTGCACCTGTCGCTTGGCGCGGGTAAACGGCTAGTGTATATATATATATATATATATATATATATATATATATATATATATATATATATATATATATATATATATATATATATATATATATAGGGAAAAGTTCAATAGAGAACCATAATTATTGGTTCTTCAAGGAACCAAATCTTTTTTTCAATTTCTAGAGCTTATTCTTTATCGAAAAAAAAATCTAAAAATATCTAAATTCATATATTAACATTGTGAATATGAAAAATATTTTTCGGATTCACCGTGTGAATCCGGATTCACATTGTGAATTTTCAAAGATTCACATTGTGAATTTGATGTAAAAAAAAAAAAATCGAATTTGATATCATTGGAAAAAGGATAAAAAGTTATGAATTTATGTATTTTTAGTTTTTTTTTTGGGATAATGACTTAAAAGGGTAACATATTATTCGATTTGTATACATTTGGTCACTGAATTTTTTTTTCGTCCACATTTACCCCTTAAACTTGTTAAACTGTACACATTCAGTTTTTATGACCTGTTACTCCAGGTTAACCGGGAAAAATGACTTGATAGGGTAATATATTTTTCATTTTGTACACATTTAGTCCTTAATATTTTTGTACATATTTAGTCCTTAACATTTTTTTTTGTTTTAAAATAAGTCCTTTTTTGTACTCATTCAGTACTTATGAATGATTTCTTTAGGTTTTTTTCACAACATCTTACGTGAGGCAATCATTGATGAGGTGCTTGGGGTTGTTGATGCTTATGTCCAATGCGATCTCGACTGCTTGGTTGCGTAAGTCTTGTGGTTTGGCTTAGGTCTTGTATTTTGAACATCGTAACTTCTTCATACGATATCAGATTTTAAGGATCTTTATCCACATGTTCATTTTTTGAGTCTACTACAACTTTCATTAAGATTATTTCGGTTAAAATGTAAAATATTTTTACTAACGATTATATAAAAAAAACATACATACATGCATTCATAAAAAACGTATGGACAGGGGAAGACGCAGTAATACATAGTAGGTGTTGCCGAGATGAAATAGGTGTTGCCGATACATGGAAAATAGGTATAAACGAAAAAAAAAGCGAAAAATTTTCCACTGCGAACAGAAAAAACAGGTGTTGTCGGTGCAACACCGGGACCATACTAAATCCGCCACCACGTATGGATATAAAAATCGTAAGTAAAAATATATTATTTTTTAATGGGAGTAATCTAAATGAAAGTTGTAGACTAAAATACGAACGCATGGATATAAAGATCGTTAAAATCCGAGATCATATGAAGAAGTTATGACGTTCAGAACATATTACCTAAGCAACCAAGTAGTCGAGATCGCGATGGATATAAGCATCAAAAGCCCCATACACCTCATTAATGAATGTCTCACGCAAGATTTCGTGAAAAACTAAAAAATCATTCATAAGTACCGAATGAATACAAAAAAATGACTTATTTTGCAAAAAAAAAAGGACTAAATGTGTACAAAGTGAGAAATATATTACCCTATTAAGTCATTTTTACCGGGTAACCTGGAGTAGTCGGTCATAAGGACTGAATGTATACAGTTTAACAAGTTGAAGGGGTAAATATGGACGAAAAAAAAACTCAGTGACCAAATGTGTACAAATCGAAAAATATATTACCCTTTTAAGTCATTATCCATTTTTTTTTGATAAAAAATAAGTTCTAAAAGTTGAAAAAAAGATTGGTTCCTTGGTTAATTATGGTTCTCTATTGAACCCCACCCTCTATATATATATATATATATATATATATATATATATATATATATATATATATATATATTGCGAATCCGACTCTGATGTTGATACAATTCAAAAGTCACCGTTGATATCTCTCTTATGTATAATCAATTCATAAGATATGTATGAAGAACAATTCACGTGTTTGGACGTTTATTTTTTATTCGACATCATCATTTAGAACTTATGTTTATTACTAGAGCCCAAAACGAATCGATCGAATACCAAGTTTATTTGTATTTGCTCATTTTTTATTGAACAAATTATCCAATACCAAACATATAAATGAATGACATTTATTTTTCATTTTTGTTTGTTTTGCAAATTACTTTAAAAGTGTTGGTTTGTTTAAATTTCTTAAGATTTTAAAGAAACATAAATAATTATAAGCGAACGAACCTAAAAAAATCATAAATGAATCAATACAAACATAAATTATATAAAAAACATATGAAAGAAAATAAAAATCATAATAGAAACATAAAAAATATCTGTTAACACTTATTATATGTCGATCGTATTTTATAACATTACTTTTTGGTATTTTCAAGAATTCCAAAAATTATAAAATTTAAGCATCTTAGAAATTTCACTTGCCTCGTTCCGACAATATAATAGTATATGAATTTAATAACCAAACATAAATAAATATAAGCAAACAAACATGAATGAACGAAAATAACCAAACGTACAACGAATATTCATGAACGTAAAAGAACAAGTGAAGTTATTGTTTATATTCATTCATTTAACTAAATTAACAACTAAATTAACAAGAGAACTATTGTTTATATTATTTTCATTAATCAGATAAATGAACGTAAAGTGGGAAGATTCACAGACGATTTGTTGAATGTTTATTTACAAATCTATATTTACAACGCTAATTTTTTATATTATGAATAGGTATTATTATATTGTGAGTAGGTACCTAGTTGTGGAACTTTAATTTTTTTTTTATTTATTATTGTTTTAGACGCATTGTCACTTAATATAATATACAATTAATGCAATTGGCAATCTAGAGATGGGGCCAGCCTCACCAAATAAGATATGGTACGTGATCTGAATATAATCTCAAATAAACAAGGACAATAAAATATAAAAAAATTGGGTGGATGCATCCACCAATAAATTTCTCCAGTAAAACGCTGCTAGTTTTGGTAAGACAACCGCACGTTCGTGGAATATTTATTGGGATCACAAAAATGAAAAAAAGAAAAAAAGGACATAACAATGTTCATCTTTTAAGAAAGTATACCAGAATTTTAACCTTACTTCTATGGTGGAGGAGGCTTAACTGATGGCTTCTTCATACTTCTTTTTAGCTCGAGGGTTTTAGTAGGCAGCCCATGTGTTGAATTCCCATCATCAATTGAGCTTCTGAAATAGTGGTGTTTCGCGGCTCGCTCTAAAGGGAATATGTACTATATCAATACAAGAAACTGGATCTTACAACAAATAAAACTGTTGGAAATGCGGATTAATACCTTGAGAAAAAAAGGTTTAGATTTTATCTATTTTTCAATGATCTAGTAATGGTTCAATGAAATAATAAAGTGCATTGAAAATCATGAAATCCATAGTCACATCCTCACAAGTTCATCGTAGATAAAACTCTTGGAATTTCATTACATGAGTTTTATCGAATGTCATGGACTCAGACTCCAATACTTATAACAAATAATATATGGTATATACTTAGTTTTGTTTTCACAAAAGAAATAAAACTTTTTTTTTCGTAATAAATTAATGATCACAATACAATGAGTGAGAAGACAAACGAAGAAAACTGGATCGTTAAACCTTTTTATATGATAAAA